CATTTTTACACTTTCATCCTCCAAAAATTATTGTTCCTTTTCTTCACTAAGCAAAAATTCATCCTGATCTCAGCCCAATTTGGGTTTCTTTCAAGTGGCACCAAAAGGCTTTCCTCATGAGCATTCTTCAATGCCATCTTTACTTTCAAGCATTTAATTACTGAGGCCCTGGAGGTAGGGGCATGGGTTTTTAGATGAACTGCCTTATTTCAGTCCAATTTATGGTAGTGACATTAAAGAGAAAAACAAATACACCATGATGGACAACTCTGACAGAGTCCCACAGTCTCTGCAAACGTGGTGGGATGAATGTGACTGCATGAACATCAATACGTCACATAAAACTGTAATGTCAGTCTTGCGAGGAGGGGCTTCGTTTGCTGAAACAAGCGGTGATGCTGGAGAGGCGCAGCTGGCAGGAACTGAGGGTGGCCTCTAGCCGACAGCCAGAACTGCCACCCTCGGCCAACAGGCATCAAGGGACTGAATGCCGCCAAGAACCGTGTGAGCTTGGACGTGGATTCTTCCCCAGTCGACCCTCAGATGAGACCACTGCCCAGGTCAGCACATTCACTAACTTTGTAAGGGTCTGACACAAGGGACCCTGCTACACAGTGGCACACACAGAAACCACGTGATGATACACTGTGTTATTTTAGGCCACTGTATTTGTGTAATGTTGCTATGTAGCAACACATACTAAATTCACAGAGAAAGAGAAAAGCAACCCTGGTATCTGAGAGCCAATCTGGTACTCTCAGCAAGGCCCTGGTGTTCCTGGGAGCTGGGCTGCATTCACACTAGGCTTTTGGGTTAAATATAAACAACTCCAGAGGACATCAACATCAGATAGGGTCACAAGGATCAAGGAAAAAAACATGACCACTCTGTAATGTTTGTATATGGGCAAAAACATGAACACTGTTCAAATTCCCTAAATGATCAAACATCCCCTTATACTGGCTAATATGAACATAGAGTTTTAGCCTTGATTCTTTTCCCTTGGCCCATAGAGAAGATTTCTTTAGATACTCATTCACCGAATTATCCCTCCCGAATGCATCTAACACAGAGCAAAGCTCTACTTTCTCTAGTCTTCCCCTAAATCACCTAAAAGAAGTCTGAATCCCGTAAGTCTTTTCTAAGGCCTCCTTACTGAGATGTATGGTTCCCCACTGCTGTGTGGTCTCCTTCACTACAACCAGCGATAAACCCAACTGGTCTAACTGGGTGTGTCCCCAGAGGTCTTTGACTGGAGGACACTGACAACAGCAAACAAAGCAAATCAAGAAAAACAAAAAGCAAACATGATTTTCTCATGGCATGTGCATAAAAACAGAAGCACAAACCAAGAAAATACAGAGCTTAAATTAGATCTAAAATACAAAAAAATAACAAAGTATCTCCAAGTTGAGTATAAAGAAATTATTTGATAAATAGTATTAAGGTAAGTGGATAGGAGCAGGAAAACTAGGATGTATCAACATTGTGGACTAAATAAGAATGAACTCTATGTAGCATAAAGGATTAAACATAAATAAAAAATTATGAGCTGAAATGTAATGAATTACTTATCAGATCAAAGTAAAAAGAACACTGCCATTTTGAAACAAAAAGAAAAAAAACTGATCAATTTGGGTACCAACGCCTTGCATGAAAAGAAAAGCAATACACAAATCAAAGAACAGCCTGAGAAATATGTGCATCACCGCGACAAAATATTTAAATCTAGAATAGAGACTTTAATCAAATTTACAAGGAAAACATCAGATACCCGAAAGATAAGTGAGCAAAGGCTTCAACAGATCAATCAAGTAAGCAGGAAACAGAGCAAACAAGAACGTGCAATCATGTTCAGGCCACTCAGTGGTCCAAAGAGCTACTATTCTAAAGCCACTAAGGTAGCAAGTCAGACAAATGAACAGGGCGGAGACTCTTGGACCATCCTGGAAGCCCCTTCACGGAGGCAGCATTTTATATTTGCTGCAACTTACTTATGCAACACAGAGGAGTCAAATCCAATCTTGAGACTCACAGGAAATCTTTTCAAAGAAACCATTAGTTCAGATTTTACAAGAGGATTATCTACAATGGTAAACAGAAGCCTAACAATAGGGAAATGTTTAATGAATTGTGCTGGATTATCTAGTATGCACATAGTTATGAAGACTAGAAACATGGAAAATATTTAGGACTTAATGTGACCAAAAAAAAAAATGCAGTTTATAGAAGTGTGAATAAAGGTTACCCTTAGCTGCATGGCTATAATGTGCCCCAGGCACTGTTCTGGGCATTTTCGTCACATTTCATTTAATCTTCCCAATACCCTGCCACCCTGCCAGGAGAGTTATATTATTCTCATTTTATAGATGAAGATACTAGGGCAAAGTGATTAAATAAAGTGGCCAAGGTCACAGAGCTGGGACATTGAGGAGACAGACATGAACCAAGATAGGACTCCAATGCTGTATTTGTAACTACACTGTTTTACCTCTTTTATACACACATGATGGCTGCAACTAGGTGCCACCATGGATATCAGGGACTAATTCTGGATTAAATATGCAAATGTGAAATAACTGTGATATGGGAATAGGATTAATGTCAATTTAATTACAAAACCCCTCATCTTTAATGATATATGATCTACCCAATGCAAACAATCAAGCAATGAACTGGTGAACTCCAATTCCATGAGAAGTTTTAACTATATGTCTGCGTGTGTGCTCCGTCATATCTGACTCTTTGCAATCCCATGGATTGTAGCCTGACAGTCTCCTCTGTCCATGGAATTTCCCAGGCAAGAATACTGGAGTGGGTTGCCATTTCCTACTCTAGGGGATCTTCCTGATCCAGGGATCCCACCTGTGTTTCCTGCATTGGCAGGTGGATTCTTCACCACTGAGCCACCAGGAAAGTCTTTTAATTATACACATCCTTGGAAAAAGACCTGTCCAAAACTACTTCTAATTTCATTCTTTCCTGACAGGGCAGAACAGAGGGACAGAATACAGAATATAGCCATCAGATCACTGCACACGGGTGAGGGGGGGGAAGCCCAGCAGGAACCATGGAATCGCAGAGCTGATGGGGAAGACAAGTTAGCTTCAAGACTACCAGGCAAGGACATGTGTACTAAGGAGGCCTATTTGCTTCCCCTCTTATACTAATCTAAGCTCCTATCTACTTACAGTGGGCAGGTATAAAGATAAAAGTCGGAGTCCCCGTAGGAAGAGCAGTGAGTACCCCGTGTGTTTGTCTTTCTGTAAAAACTGAACCAGTGATGCTATGTGGCAACCTGAGGGCAGGTACAGGCTCGCCCCTTGCCATCCAGGTGTGTGTGTGCTGACAGCAAAGCAAGACACTTCTTCTCAGGGCAGTGAGTTATTCACTCTTTTCCACAACTATGTCTTCAAGTCTTTTGATTCTACTGGTACTTTCAGGATGACCTAAATCCTTGGTCAAATGTCAGATGACACTCTAACCACCGTCACCTTTTCTAGGTGGTGAATTAAAATAGAGGATGCTTTGGATTCTATTAGGCTTCCCTGATAGCTTAGTTGGTAAAGAATCTGCCTGCAATGAAGGAGACCCCAGTTTGATTCCTGGGACGGGAAGATCCCCCGGAGGATAGGTTACCCACTCCAGTATTCTTGGGCTTCCCTTGTGGCTCAGCTGGTAAAGAATACTCCTGCAATGCAGGAGACCTGGGTTCGATCCCTGGGTTAGGAAGATCCCCTGGAGAAAAGAAAGGCTACTTCCTCCAGTATTCTGGCCTAGAGAATTCCATGGACTGTATAATCCATGGGGTCGCAAAGAGTTGGACACAACTGAGCGATTTTCACTTTCTTTAACTTTGGATTCTAATATGAAAGTTGGATCAGAAAACTTATGCTAAGAAGCACTGACTTTGGGGGTGGGGAAAACAAGAGAACCCCATCCCTAAACATTCTATGCTGTTTTTTCTTAAGTTGGCTTATATCATGAGTTTTTATTTTTATTTCAACTTTACTTCGACTTCTGGAAGTGTGCTCACCAACAGAAGTTTGCTTTCAATCCTTCACCACACTACTGACCCCCTTTACCCATTTCACCCTCCCTCTGCCCCCTTCCCCTCTGCTGAACACTACTCTGTACCATTTTACTCAGTCTTGCTCAGAAAGCCCCTCACTTTGTGTGAGATGACCACTATTGTGCTTAGAGCCAATTGTAACTCCCAGATTACAAGTGACACCCACTGTCCAACTACATCATCTGTGCAATCTCTTCAGAAGAATATCACACAAAGGGTCAGGGCAGAGCTCATTTGTCGTCAAGGCTTTTGAGACAGGGAAAGTGAAAGTGGATGCTTGAACAGACATCAACGTTTTAGGCGGGCAGAGGGAGCAGGTTTGGGGAAGGGAGGATGTGAAACAAGGCCCTGTAAATCTGATTTTACCGATACTACATCTTGGCCAGACCAGAATCAGTTATGTGCAAAACGATTAATCACTGTCTCCCTGAAATATTCAAGGTCCTGCTGCCTATTCTTAGGATGGAAAAAAATCTAATGCTGAAATATGACTTTCAGGCTTTTGTTCATTCTATACCCTTTTAATAAAGCAGGTCACAAAATTTTGCCTTGGGCTTGGCTGAGTTGTGGTATTTATCTCCTAAGTGGCAAAGCTTCATCCCTCAGCCCCATCTACCAAACTGTGCCCGAGTTATAGGAAGTCTGCGAAAGAAGGAAAAATGTGGGTGCTGTCCCTAAGGCATCCATCTATCAGATGCAATAATTGCTCCAAGAGACAGATTTTCTCTTTATATTTATAGAAAAATAGTCACCGCAGAAGAAAATGAATTTAGCTAATGGGCAAATGTGGATGGCGCTGCATGGCGGATACTCTGACAAATGTGGCTGATGAGTTACATCCTGCCTCCATCACTGCTGGGAGGGGAGGGAAGCAGGACAAATTCTTGGGCATTATTGAGGCAATGGCTTCAGCTGGGTCCCCACCTACCTTCTCTGCATACTCAGACACGATCTGCTTGATCTCGGCAGAGCATAGGCCCACGATCTGGCCCACGGAGCTTGCGGTCAGCCGGCTCTGCAATCACAAGGGAGGGTGTGCTCTTAAGGCCACGCACTGGCTTTCACACATTGGAAACCCTGGGCATGACTATATCAAAACAGATAACATTCCCGGGGGAAAAGTAATTTGGCTTTTCCTCACGTGTTCATCAACAAGGGAGAAAATAAGCCTTAGGACAAAGGTTACCGCACCTCACTCCCTCCTGCATCACTCAGCAAGCTCTGTTAAGATTCTGCTCAGACCCTGGGTATCTCTAGAAAATCATTCTTCACCATTTACACCCCGTCCCACGGTTTTTGTTGCTGGGGACCACTAAAAAGAGCCTGCAGGAACTTGGCAGGCACAGGACTCAGAGGAAGAAAGTGGAAATGGGAGAGGAAAAGGGATCTCAGAATTCCTGATCTATCTGCTGACTGTCACGGGTCTTTCCTGCCGTAAAGAGGGATTTTCTTTCAAAGCACCTGGATAAACACTCGGGACAGGTGATGAGCTCTGAGAAGAGGGAATATAAATTCGGTGCCGAACCATCTACCCAGATGGTGTAGGAAGGAAACAGGAGACAGGGGCTCCTGTGGCCTGAATGCCACATGTGGTTGTGGACAAGCAGGGCGGAACCTCAGCTGTCCCGCACGGGTCCTGTGATGCCATCCAGCTGGGACATCCTGTCTTCACAAAGGTCCTTCAGGTCTCCCTCCGAGAGGTTCCCGTGAATAGCAACACCGTGCATGTATAAGAAGCTCCCCAAAGAAAGATCCCAGGAAAACAAGAGGCAGAGTGCTAACAAGAGAGGGCCCTGAAGGTGGACTCTTGGGAGAGGGCCCTCCATGGCAGAGCAGGTTGGTTCCCAGTCTCCCTCTCCACGGCACGCCCACCCACACGGCCATGCCCGCCTCACCTCCTCATGTGCCATGGCGGTCATCGTGGTCATCAGGGACTGAATACGCTGCTAAAAGAGGAATGGGGAGAAGTAGCAGTGAGCAGGTCTGCCCACAAAAGGCTTAAGCCGGGTATCCTAACATGGCTTTTCAGCAGAATCCAAGGGCTGTTTTACCCAGTCTCATTTTATGGTGAGTCTCATGAGAGGTGATGGAAGGAGACTGAAAGGAGTGTGAGAAAACAGCCAACGGTAGCTGGCCATTCTGGAAAACTGGAGATGAAAGTAAAATCTCTCTCCAAAAGATTTATGCAGAAACCCTAGAGGGCCACACGGACCGCTCACCTCTTCAGCAGCTTGAAGCTCATCCTCCTCGTGGGCGTCAGCTTTTTCTGCAGTCAACAGCCCTGTCGGAAGTGCCGTTTTCTTGTCCTCAGCCTGGAAGGGAAGATGCAAAAACTGCAGCTGAACACTATAGGTGGAGACAGTAGAGAAAGGGTAACACTGCAAAGAGCTGTAAGTCTGTGAAAGAAACATACAGATCTGGACAAATGACCCAGCCCCTGGAAAGGATGCAAAACCCAGAGACTTCAGCCTCTGCTCCAACCACGTGCCAAGCAGGTGGAGCCTTGGGCCTTGCTCAATGCCTGCCTCCATCTCTGAACTACTCGCTGATTAAATTCCTATCAGGCCATACACCTTTGCCAGACTTATCCATGCACTGTGATTGGGTCTTCCCCTACTTTAATTTCTTTAAGACTAGATCACTGCCTTTTTTTCAGCTGAGGTGCATTAGTGGATATGAAAGCAATTTGGCAGGTATGACTGGCATCTAAATAGAAATAACAACATATCAGGGTGCATTACAGGGAGTAAAGAGTACTGCTTTGTGAAACTTGTTTTGGGGGTTGTGTGTGTGTGTGTGTGTGTGTGTGTGTCTACTAAACCATGATGAAAGTAATGCCTACTACCAAGAGCTGTCAACAAAGCTTGAAAATCGCTGGTTTAAAGGATAAGACTCTAAGCTGCTTGTCCTGATGCTCAAGCTCCATGCTACAAACCCAGCTCAGGCTCAAAATATATCGCACCACACTCAGGACACCTGGAGTCACGGCTGCTCCCCAGGCCTGTGCTGTGAGTCTAGAGTTCTTGGTTTCAGCTCCATCTTTACCATTCACAAGCTGCTGACCTCAGATTTACCTTCTCTGGATATTAGGGTCTCTTGGGGTTGAATGAGAGGACTGGCCTCAAATATCCCTCTGAGACCATCCCAATTCTGGGTTGTGCTTTTATAACAAGCATATGACTGGCTGCAGGGGCCGGCCTGAGCACCTGTGTGTATCTTCAGGGAATAAGACTTCCAGTTCAAATGTGCCATCTGATATGAGAAGGATAAGGCAAGGCCAATGTGAATAATATTTCATGGACATCTCATAATTTTCCCAAGCATAGTCAAATTGCCTGATTTCAGAATACAGTCATATACACAGACATTCTTTTAAGACCTAAAATTATATATTACACATACACATCAAATTCTTATATACCATACAGTTACCCCATGACACTCTAATCCAGAAAAGCCTTGCTTTGGAGGAAACGGCTGTTTGGTTGAGTGAAAACACAAATGTGGAAGTGAGAAAGCCAAAAAAGGTGTCATAATCAAAGCATAAATGACTATTAACGATAATAATGGTGACGACAGTTTACACTTAGTAAATGTGCACTGAGTTGGATTATTCTGCATCTTTTACATTTTAATCTTCACAACAGTGTTGTGAGACAGTACAACTTCTGTCCCCATTTTACAGATGTCATAAACTGAGGCCCAACAATGAAGTGTACTGACTGAAATCAGGCAGTGAAGGGGAGGAACTAGCACTGAAAGCCAGTCTGGCTTTAGAACACATGCACTTCAGTGCCCTGTGAGGACTGAGACAGTGGCCACAGGAACCAGAGGGAGGCTGGGGTCAGGGAAGGCTTCCGGGAAGCACTGGGGCATGGGGTCTAGACAGAGGAGGGGCGGCAGGAGAACGGTAGGGGGAGTGGTGTCTCATTCAAGAAAATCTAGGGGTCAGGTAGGGAATGAGAGAACAGGTTTACCAGATCTCAAGCTGTGGACTCTTTCAGAGGTCACCAGCCACTTTAGTTGGCACGTTATTACTGAAAAGGGAGTAGGAAAGAGCACAGGCTCTGATGTCACACAGACCTGGGTTCAGGTTCTTTTTATGGCACTCTAGGAGCTGTGTGATCTCGGACAAATCACTGAGCCTCTCTGAGCCTCAGCACTTTGATCTGAAAAACAGGAATAAGTATCTTCCTCACAGAGTTGTTTAGAGGAGTAAGTGAAAAGCTATACGTAGAGCCCTGACCAAAGGGCCTGGACACAGGAAAGGGTAGCAGTGTAAGATTTATACGCCTGCCCTGCTGCTGGCAATTAAGAACCATGAATAAACACATACACACAAAAAGGATATGAATGAAGAGAAAACTTGGAGACTCCTTTATGAAGTTATAAAGCCCCATCTTGACTTCCTGTTTTTTCCACTCCAGGCTTAGTACATAGCCAGCCTGTAATGTACACCGCGCTCTCTCTCACTGCCAGCAGGCTGTTCACACCCATCTAGGGCATCTCTCATCAGATGAGGATGCTCAGGCCCCCGTTTTAGAGTTATTAAAGCCCACATGTTTGACCCCGGGGCCATGATTTTCAACCACCCTTCATTTCCAGTCCCGTGATGAGGAGTTGTCGCAGTTCCCCAACCTGCAGAGGCAGCAGATGGGGAACGCCAGGAGGGAGCTGCGGGGGTCAAAGCAGCTGGTACACCCCTGCTGACCGGGGTCGCTCAAGGACCAGAGCCCTGTGTCCCATCCCTTTTGGGAGCCTGCCAGTGTCAGACAGAGGCAAAGTAGAAGCATACTTCCATATCTCAAATATGCTCTCCCATCAGCCAAGCATTTCTTACCTTCTCTGTTTTGCTCTGGCGGCTAAATCCATATCTCCTGCAAGCCACAAAAGAGAGGAGCTCAATTATTACTCCAAAAAAAAAAAAAAAGTTGATCAAATGAATTTCAGTTGCACTTTTATATGAAAAGCACCAAAGAGAATTTTGGCTATTTGGTGACTGGAGAACATGTCTCGAGTGCCGAAACCACAAACTTATCCCACTGTTTCTGAATAAAGGGCCCAGCATTCAGATTGCCACATAAATACTGTCAATATAAATGGGAAGTCTCCATGCAAAGCACAGCATTCTCTTAAAGTGTGATTATGACTGTTTGAATTGGGAACCATACCGATCCATAGTTTAAGCTAGAAGCTTTAAGAATATCTGTATGTGTGAATGTGTTTGCTCAAGCTTAACATGCTCTCTAATGATCTACTTTCATAACCTCACATCCAGCCCATTTTTATTCTTAAACACAACCCAAGCACAATGCCAAAAATGTTGTGTGCTCACTTCGCGCAAGTTTAAATTCAAAGACACTCACAAATGCACTTTGGTTTAAACTAGCTTATTTTCAGGTTCTAATTAATATCTATTTTTTTAAAAAGCAATACAAAAACCAGTCAACCTAAAACAAAAACCATAATGCAAAACACCCAAACTCACTTACCTTTAAATGGTTTAGAAGGAAATAAAATCACACACAACCATTTAAAAAAACAAATTAAGGGGCCCTGCTCTGCCCTCACTCACAGCTCACCCCACTTGCTGGGTCATGTGCTGGCTTCTGCCCTTGTCTCAAGCCTCCACTTTCACTCTCCCACCCAATCCCTTATCCAACCTCCCACTGGCCTTATCTGCATCCGGCAGGGAACAGAAGCCCTCCTGGTGGGCCCTGTCCCTAGGGCCTCCTTTCCAAGGACCCGCCGAACAACCCCTGAGCCTCACCCCAGCAGCTCACCTTCCCTGCTCCTGGGCATCAGCGCCCCGAGCAGAGTTCTGTTCTCCTGTCTCCGCCTACCTTTCTAGTCACTCCTCATATCCCAGCTCTAAAGCCACCTCTTCCTCTGAAGCATTCCCAGACTTCAATTTGGATGCTTTTGGTCATTTCCAAAAGTCAGCTCCGCTCAATCTGAGAATCTCAATCTAGGGCCAGTGCTTTGCCAGACATGAGTGTGAAGGGAAACGCACACTTGGACACCGGATTTCTCAGGACTGGGCTGACAAACCACAGGCTTAGCTTATAGTTGAGTCTAGTGTACAGGGTAGGTTGGGTAGTAGAAGGTCAGGACACTGGGTTTAGGTTCTTCATCCTGATGACAGCCAGCTCTGTGACATGGGGGAAATTGCTTCACCTCTCTGAGCTTTGTACCACTGATATGGGATTATAGACGTGATCTCAAGCCCTGTTTAAACAGCTTCCAAATGATTTCTGTAAATTACCACTGAGGGTATAGGAGGGTTAGGAGACACAAACTATAGGCTGTGCAGTTTGGGCTGGACACTTTCAGCTACACCAGCGCTCTGATCTATCCCTGTGCCTGTACATGTTCCCCCTACTTTCTGATCAGCAATCATGTCCAGCTGCCTGTTTGCATGTCTGCATCCTTCTCCAAGAAAATGCCGAAATCAAGAAGCCAAATGTACCACCTGTCCTTGCAATAGGCTGTCTTATAACTGGAGAGACCAGAAGTCATTGCCGGGTACACTGTGCCCACCCACAGATCGACAGGCCCATAGTGCAGGAGAGCAAAGTTCAGTTCCGAGTGTCCACCCAAATCCTGTATAAGAGCTTATGGCAGAGTCTGTGAACTGGCTTAGTCAACATCCAGCACCTTTCTAAGCTGTGCAGGCCAGAAAACAAACAGCTCTATTTTCCACATTCCCTTGTACCCAGAGTTTTGAATACTATTTAAGTTCCATCGATGAGATGCATTTGCTGGAATTTTGAATGTGCAACAGTTAGAGCAGGAAACAGTGAGAGCATAAGGGGTTCACTGTGCTCATGGGGATCACAGTAGAAGTAACCTGATTCTGGGCCAGAAGCTGTGACAGTGGTTTTCTGATCTTGGAAAAAGCGGGTGGCTCTTTTCCCAGCAGCTGTGGTACCAGCTTCCCAGCACCACAGGCTATCTGCCAGCTTCCTGACCTCAGAGGCAGCAGCAGCATCCTCGGCAGCCCAGATCTACTGTGATGCTTGGGCAGTAACCCTGCTCAGTCCAGATCACATGCCTTAACTCTTCCCATCCACCCCTGTAATCAATCCCTTCTGCTGGAACTAGTGGGCGGGTTCTGAGTCTGAAACAGGGACTCAAACAGCTGACCAACAGAGGGTCTCTCCAAAGTCTCCCACTCCTTGAAGGGTCCTTGCACCCTGGGTATTCTTTTGTTTCCCAAGCCTTCAGTCCCTGGAGACCTTCAAGGGCAGAAGACATACCCTTAGACAGGCAGGCCTTATCAAAGATCCGGGAACTTTATGGATTTTCCAAATAAAGAAGTAAACAACTAAATCTGAGTAAATTCAATTCCCAGGCCCAAGCTCCTTCTCCTTAAAGACAGAGGCTCAGGAAGACTTCTCTGACCACCCCAAACTAGGCTTCTGTGCCTGTCCACCTTTATGCTCTCACTGTCTCCTCCTCTAACTGTTGCACTTTCAAAACTCCAGAAAATGCATCTCAAGGGCAGAACCTAAATAGTATTCACAACTCTAAGTGCAAGGGAATATGCAAAATAGAGTTGCCTGTTTTCTGGCCTGCACAGTATAGAAAGATGCTGGATGCTGACTAAGTAAGGTCTTGTACAGGATTTGGGTGGACATGTGCTTCCGTGTTGACACTAACAGAGCACTCACACTCACCGCACGGGGTACAATTATTCCGTATTACAGGCACTCTGTCTGCCGAGTCCTGGAGGGGAGGAAATCTTCTCCACTCACTTTTTTTCTCTACACTTTTCAAGTTGAGTTTTAATTCATATAACATAAAATTCACCATTTTAAAATGCGTATTTAGCAGTTTTTAGTGTATTCACTACTTTGTGTAACCAGTGCTGTGCCACACATATAACTTTAGATTAGTATTCACTTAACCAAGTTATTCTGAACATATTTAAACATACTCAAATAACGAAAGCATGTATTTAAAAATTTTAATTTCATTATTAAAATTTTGTTTCTAAGCCACACTAGTCACACTGTAAGTGCTCAAAAGTCACATGTGGCTAGTGACCACTATACTGGACATCATCGTTCCAGAAAACAAACATTCTAGTCTTCTTCCCTGGGGCACATTAAGACAGATATCAAATTACCTGGAATCCAGAACAAACCAGGGACACAAAAAGCGCTAAATACTAAGGACAATGGATTCTGTTCTTCGTTCATTCAATGAGCATTCACTAAACACCTCCTGTGAACATGTCATGGGCCTTGAGAAGGAACACAGGTTAGGAGAGAGATGTTACACGCACTCAAAATGCACTTCCTCACACTGGCAGTTTCATAGTGCGGTTAGGTGTTTCAGTTAGCTCCTAAAAGTTTATTGAACCCATAATGTAATTGAAATGTTATAAAGACACATTGTGTTTCAGTTTAAAATCAAGACTATGAGTCTTGTTTTTCCAACAACATAATATTTACATGTTTTTAACAAGACATACAGTCCTTAAGACCCTCAGCATAGTCGTCGAGGCTCAAAATCTACCCTTGAGCAACTGAAAGTCCCAAAAGGGAGGAGAAACTGGGATGCTGGCCTCAAAGCCAGATGCTCTGTGGACCTAGGCTGAAAGACCTTTAACTGCAAAGAGGATACACTGTGTTCAGACCTTCTTACTTAGCAGTCAACATATTTCCCCTCTTATCAAGAGGAGAAAGGGAGAGCACTGACAACAAATGAGGGATTTAGATTCCTAGGTGGGAATGAGCAACTAAGGGATGCCACAACGGTGAGGCCCAGAGCCAGCAGGGGGCCAGCCTTGCTTGATGAGGAAGGGAGGCAAAGAGGGTAAGGCTTCTCTTAAATGGGCTGGAGGGAGGACTAGAACTGGGGGGAATGAGAACATACGGACAAGGAAAACTGAAAAAGAGAGGCCCAGGATACGATTCTCATTTGAATCCAAAAGTCTTATTTATGAGCATCTGAAAACCAAAACCTGCTGCTGCTAAGGATGATGAAGATGGTGGTGGTGGTGATGATGTGGTGAACAGACTGTCACAGTCCCTCATAAAGACACTGCTATATGACCCTCATCTAATGGAGAGATCTCCATGCAGTGGAGAGCACCGACTGGAACCCTGCGAGAAGAGCCTGACAGCCAGATAGGAGGATGTGGTCTTCCCAAGCAAGGGGAATAAGTGAACCACTTCTCTGGGCTGTAAGTTTTATCCCATTTGCTCTGTCAGTTGTAATAACTCTTCAGTTGTTCAGTCTCGGAGCAAACAAATAGGACTGGGCCTGTCTTCCCACGACCAACAACCAAATTCTCACCAGAGGCTCAAACAACATTTTTAGATAATGATGATGACATGCTTTTGGAGTCCAACAGACCTGAGCTCAAGTCCCAGTTTGAGGCGCTTACTAGTTCTTAATAGTTAACAGTTGACCTTGGGCAGGTTATTTTTTAACCTCTGTGAATGCTGTCTTCATCATTCTCAAAAAGGGGAATGAACTGAATAAACCATCAGAATTCCCCACCTTCACAGATTCACCCTCCCCTTATCAGAAAAGCTAAAAAAAAAAAAAAAAAAAAGCAAAATAACCCCATCTCCTAAAAAACAAACAAAAAAAGCCTTCACCAAGCAGCTACCCCAGGCTTGGAAATCAGGAGCCAGCATGACCCCACCAAGAACTAAGGTGAGTAGTGAGACACATATTGGATATTGGGAAAAAAAGATGGTATGAACCATACAAACTAACAAAAAACACATTCCCCTGAGTTCTTTTTGGCTCTAGGACATGTGAGACTCGCAGAGGCTGTCTCTCCAGCTCTGGCTCATGTGGACCAGCACAGCCTTGTCTGCCCTCTTGCAGCAGGGGGGTGGCTAGAAAGCCCCCATCACAGCATCCAGTTGCACAAACTCCCACACCCCAAAGGAGCCCACACTTGGCTGCTGCTGCTGTCATGAAATTCTTATTGATTAATCATTACTCATAACTCTTAACATGGGACCCTGCATTTTCATTTTATATTGGCCCCTGCAAATTATGGAGCTGGTCTGGAGGTGCCTGATTCAGAAGAGGAGTTCAAATCACAGCAGCAAATGGTGAGCATGGGGCAGCCCTCACATCTAGATTAGGACCAGAACTAACAACTTCCTTTTAATTAAACGGACTAGCTTTCATTCTTAAGAGCTGGCATTACTCTCTCAAAAACAAACAAAAAGCGGCAATTGCAATTCCATTTGAGAAATGGAATTAGTAAGGCAATTAAACCCTAACTTCCTCTGGTTCTCTCCAGCATCCTAGGGGCAGAAGGCATAGATGCTCACTAGGAGACGCTTGGCAGTGCCGTTAGCCCCAGCCGCACAGTGAGGCCTGGGTCATGAGCAGAGCAACACAGAGCAACCACTCAGCTGAGAGGGGAGGGAGCGCCAGGGGGCATGCTCACATCAAGGGGCCAGTGACCCTAAGTAGAAAATGCAGGACATAAAGGAGGGTTAATACCCAGAGTCAAGCGAAAAAATTCACCGAGGAGTGGCACTTCCGTGTGTTTAACTGAAACACTGAGGCCACAAGAATGTTTTCAAAATTAGAGATATTTTTAAGAAGTGACAAAACAACTTCTAAATTCTTCGTTTTTCTGGTCAGGACAATTCTTCACAGGAAACCAAAACTAGTATCTAACACAAAGTAAAGCTGCTTTAACTGCAGTTTCCCTGAACATGTTTACAAATGGCAGGGGCAAGGAGGGCAGCCCACCCAAGCCTCGCACCCAAGCCTCACGCCCTGACTCCCCGAGGAGGGCAGAGCTGGGGCGGGGGAGGAACTTCAGAGATCAGGCCTTTACCACCAGCAGGGAAGCTACCCCCAGAAACTGGACTCATTCAACACTGGAGGGAAAAGTACTTGGTGTTGGAAATCTTGGGCCCAAAACTGTAAACTCGACCAGGTGAAAACCAACCAAGTTCATCTCAATGAAGTGATTTACATTAGTTTTTCTTTTCAACGGTTTTATCAAATAGACACTTATAGACTGGGTCCCCTTCATTACCGGCCATATTCCAAAAGCGTGGCATGGATCCGAGACTCTTCATCCGGCAGCTCCTCTGCCCCCTGCTGGCGTTTGTATTTCCGACGAGGTTTGTAAGCATCCTAAGAAGTGGATGAGGTGGAGAATTACCGAGGGTGAAGAGGCGGGCCTGGCCTGCCAGGGGTGGGCCTTCCTCCCCAGGGTGGGGGTGTACAGCCGGCATGGGGTGGCTGCCTTCAAGGACTCTGCCCTTTTTTTTTAATGTTGTGGCAAATACTTCCACCCAAGCCATTGTTGTCAACTTTGCTTTATCTTGGCTGGGTCTTTTTCTATCCTATGACGCTTTATTATTTTAAGCAGTCAAATTCATCAATCATCTTTTCTCCTAACTCAGGGACTGTTTTATATGTTACTTTTTTTTAACCTTTTAATCTATTCAGAATTTCCTCTGGTATAGTGAAAAGTTGGTATGTATAGATATATTTTTCTCTGAATGGAAAATTAAGAATCCCAACATCATAAATTTAATAATCTATCCTTTCCTTGATTTAAAATGGCAAACATACATACATAAAACATGTACCAATATTATCCTCTGCAATGCCTCTTGTTTAATGAATATCCTGTCTCCATTGTTCTTTTTCAAATTTCCTGGACATTCTTACACATTTTCTCTTTCAAATGAGTTGCAGTATCAGCTTGTCAAGTTCATTATGAAAAACTGTTGAGCTTGGATTAGAATCACACCAAATTTACAGATTACTTTGGGAAGATCCAACATCTCTATAATACTGAATCTTGCCTTGAAAAGCAAGATTTATCTCTATTCAAATCTTTTTCATCCCTTAATAAAATTTTCCAGAAAGAAATACAAATTTTTCACAGTCACTACATATCCAGACCTTTCTATCACCCAGAGACATAAACTGCAACAATCACCGATATACATGTTAACCTACTATACTTAGAAAAAAATTCTTTCATGGCAAAAGAAATCTCAAATTCTTAAACTCTAATACCAAAAAAGGAATGCTGATATAAAAACCCTTCAGAGATATATATATTTTTACAAAAGTGTTTGAGGTTTATCCTCAGAAAAAAATCTTATAAAACACCAAATGCATTATAAACTTTCAATGACTTTTAAATTATTAGAGTATTATTTAGTTATAAATATAGAAATATAGATCCATTTTGTGTAGGACACATACTGAAAGTGCACATATATATATTTCCTAAACAAAGTATATGGCATGTAGTAGGTGCTCAATTAATGTAGGTCATCACCCTGAGATGACCTGGTTTACCATTCTACCCCAAATATATGCCCTTCTTGACTGCCAACTAGCATCAAATAATACCTTAATAATATTTGTTCGGGGCTTTAGGTACAAGTAGGCAGTTGTTTGTGAAAGGTATTTCAGTTTGGATCTTTTCTTTCCCACTGGCAGAGTCTGCTTGGTGGCTCAGATGGTAAAGACTCTGCCTGCAACATGGGAGACCCGGGTTTGATCCCTGGGTCGGGAAGATCCCCTGGAGAAGGTAATGGCAACCCACTTCAGTATTCTAGTCTGGGAAATCCCAGGGACAGAGGAGCCTAGTGGGCTACACTCCACGGGGTCACAAAGAGTCAGACATGACTGAAGCGACTCAGCACATACACACACATAAAATCTCCACTTGGACATCTTCAGAACAAGCACTACCATCTGGCTTCTCCAGACCGTGGCATTTTTAGACTAATCAAAATGGTTCCCCTCTTGATAATTCTGGTTAACTTTATTATCATCTCACTTTTTATTATGAAAAGTTTCAAACATACAGAAAAACATCCTTTCTGTAACATCTGTAATTTCAACTATTCTGTGAAAAAGAAATGAAACAGGTTCTGGGACGATCCTGGCGGGTTGTTTTAACTCGCTGCCACAAGTATTCCTGTTTGCTGCTGGTGCCTACATGAACATGAATAGGAAGCTATAAATAACAAATCAGATTTATGGGGAAATGAAAACCGTAATAAACTGGCATGACATCAGTTACTGTGTACGATTTCATTTCCACGGAGCTCTACTATTACAGCGGCACTATATAACTGACCTTAACTGCTACCTTCCTTAGTTACCATTCAGAGAGTCAACGACCCAGACAGGAAGTTAGCTTCTTCTAAAAAAGCACTGACTCCAAAACAATAGCATACTTGAAACCAAAGCACAAGGACCTTTTAATCAGCCAAACAATGACAATGTTGGCCTTTGTGCAATTATTCCTTATACTTTAAAGTACCTCACCACATCTCACTTTTTGCATTTTATAACTATACTGTGGGCAGAAGCAGGGCAGATGCTATTATCTCCACCTTGCTACTAAAGAAGCAGAGAACAAATAATTTGTCCAGGATTGCTAGAATAGGTACCCAGGTTGCTAGTCCCAAGGTTTCCTACTATACTAACTTGCCCCACTAGTCACTTCAGCTGAGCCCTCTCATGAGACTACACAATGTGAAGTGGCCACATGGATCATTACAGTGGTTTGCTTAAGTAAAGGACCTAAATGTTCCCAGACCAAGTATGAAGAACTATTACTAAGTCACCCTTCAAAGAAACGAGTCAGGAACACTGATGTCTAGTCCTGACTCTGCCATTAACAAGCTGTATGACCCTGGGAAAGGCGGTTTCCCTCAATGGGCCTTTTCCCATATCTGCACAATGAGGGCTGGACTAACAGATTTTGAAGGAGACTCCTAGTCTCTCATTCTTTGTGTTCTTTTAACCCTGAAAAGATAACGAGTTGGTAGCATAATTCCATCAGCAATTTAAAGTCAGAGGTTATTTTTTAACTATGCTTTCTAAAAAACATAACTTCAGTTTTTAAAAGGTAGACAAAAATCGATTTTTCTTTGGCCACTAACACTGGCAGTAATAGTAACTGTTATCACTTACTGAGTGTGTGGTATGTGTCAGGCATATACTGCCCTATATGTGCTCCTTCATACCCAGGAGGGCAATGATCTTTGTTTTATGTATACAGATGATGGAACGGGCACGGAGGTTAAACAGCTTGCCTATGGTTACAAACGCAAAAAACGAAAAGAGAAGAGATGACTTCAGAACTGAGACTCTTAAGCGCCTGCATGATGTGTCCTACCTCAACTGTGATCACCCTTCCTGCTGGGCTCCGATCGTCCGCTCAGCATATGCCAAAGGAAACATGAGTGTGACTGGGGTTAAAAAGTTAGTGTGACCCCTCTGTAAAGCGGAGACTGTGTACAGTGAGTGGCCCAGCTCTCCAATTCGCAGGACTGGCTACAAGTCAGGTTCACCCATCAGAGCCATTCCTCTGGTCACATTCCAAATGGCGGGGAAGGGGTCGGAAGAGTTCAGCTCCACAGCTGTGTCTGCAACAATGCCCCAGTCACTGACTCTCAGCTACAGCAGGCAACCCCTTCATGAAATGACCAGTGGGCAGCAAGACGGCCACCGACAGCCACTGCCCTCCAGAACTCCAGGGGGCCGGACCACACCATACGCTGCAGGGAGCACGTCTCATTTTCCCAGAGCTCCCCTGGCAGCCCAAACCTGACTCTAACAGATACCTCTGCCCACCAGTCGCTGAACAAACACAGATCTGCTGCGTCGCTTCAGTCGTGTCCGACTCTGTGCGACCCCATAGACGGCAGCCCGCCAGGCTCCCCTGTCCGTGGGATTCTCCAGGCAAGAACACTGGAGTGGGCTGCCATTTCCTTCTCCAATGCATGAAAGTGAAAAGTGAAAGTGAAGTCGCTCAGTCATGTCTGACTCTTAAGCGACCCCATGGACTGCAGCCCACCAGGCTCCTCCGCGCATGGGATTTTCCAGGCAACAGTACTGGAGTGGGGTGCCATTGCCTTCTCTGAACAAACACTGCCTTCCACCTAAAGGGGTTCCACTGATGTCCCCACCAGCAAGCACAGGGCCCTAAAACATCCCCTAAGAAAAAATTATTCTGAGACAAAGAGGTTTGTCTTCATTTTCGCATTAATAAAACCACCACTACCACCACCACAAAAACGAAGCCCCTGGGAACTGAGTGGAATGGTGAGATAGACAGATGGTAGTCATGTCTGTGGGTAGAAAGTTAGCTGGAGAGGAAGGTTTGCTCTAGACACCCCCTAAATCTTGCTCTCTTACAACAGCTCCACTATGCAGGTCTGTGTTCCGCTCCGTGAGGTCAAGTGTAAGCCCCATTCAGACCCCTTATATCTGTACCAAACAGCTTAACACAGTGGGTAAGAAAGAGGCTGCTGTTTTGTATACATGAGCCAAGATGGCTTCTGTATATTGACTCCTAGGTTTATTTCTTCACAGCCTGCTGAGACCCACTGCTCAAAACCCTCCAACTCTTTACACATCCAATTATTCACAAGATGCCCCACTGAACAGAGTTTTAGCCGTTTACAGCCTGTCCATACTGCATGCTCTGCAAAATTGCCCTATCATTTCTGAACCACAGACAGGAGAAGCCCGAGGCTATAAAAACCCCAGGCTGCAGCTGCCCTTCAAATATCTCTAACCCACCAGGGGCTTCCTGCCCCCACCCCTGCCCCGGGCTCCCTCGCTTTCTTTCCTCCCCTTCTGATCTGTGGCCCCTGTGCCTAGGCCTCGGGATGGCTGCACACTGTGAGGGCCTCCCCAGCCTGCAGGCAAGCCTGTTAAAGCATCGCCTAAATAGAGCCTGTGGTGCTCTGGCCCTGACCCATCACATCTTGCCTGTTGATGAGCCCCAGAGCCCCCTGCATCCCTGCTGCAGTGTCCCAACTTTCACCCCACACTCCAGAATGCAGCTGGGCACACAGTAAATGCCTAGTTATTAATACTATTACTGAATGAACATATGGAGTCAGACAGACAGGGCTTAATCCTTGTCCCTTTGCTATCTGTCTGGTTTGGGGCAAATTACTTTAACCCCTGAGGTTTTCATCTGTGAAACAGGTATAAGGAGAGAGACATAAGGATTAGTCAATCTATCTAACATATCTGGCACACGTTAAGGGTTAAGATATACATACATGTGTGTTTTTGCTATTATCAATAAAATGTACCAATGCATATTTTTTCTTATGTTGCCATATGTACATTTTACGTTC